GTGGCCTTACTAAGGCATTGTAAAGTGGTATTAATACTTCACGTGATCTTGATTCTATCCCTCTGTTAATGCAGCCCAGCACTGTGTTGGCTTTTTTGGCAGCTGCAGCACACTGCTGGCTCATATCTAAGTGATTGTCCACTAGGACTCCGAGATCCCTCTCACAGTTACTACTATTGAGCAAGGTACCCCCTATACCCTTTAAGGTACCCTTTAAGAAGAGACTAGACTAGGGTCTCCTGCTTTAGCAGGGGGTTCAGCTAGATGACCCAGAAGATCCTTTCTAGTTCTATTCTGATTCAAATACGGACGTACCTGCACACAGAAATACATTCTTAGGTGTCTATTTCTGTGGGCATGTGCGTGCATACATGTGTGATCTATTCAAGCCAAAAAGAGAATTTTATGATTGAATCAATATTTTTAACTTGAATTTTGCTAGTCTTCTGTACGCCAAATGAATCATAATGTTAGACGTTAAAATAGAATTCTGATGTTCTCATGGTAATATATGGGGTTGTTTTTTTGTTTTGCTACTTTCACTTGTCGTACACCCATTTTTTAAACAATAATGAACCTAAACCATTCATATGAATCTTACAGGTAAAGAAGATGCGAAGAAGAGCACTCTGGACAGCAGAGAATAAGAAGCAACATTAAAACGCAAAACAAACCAATCAAAATCTCTTTCACTTCCTCCAGAAAGTGTGAAAACTCTTCTCCTTCCTCAGCAGATGAGAAGCAAGAGAGAGAATAACAAGAACAAATTTTTGAGCTGGAAAAAATAGATTATGTGCAACTCAAGGAAACATTACACGAGAAGTCAAGAGGGATAATATCCAAGTAAAAAAAAAAGTAGAAACAACTAGGAGTCAGTGGAAAAGAAAAGGTCCCTTGGATAGCCAAAATGGACAGGCATTAATTAAAGCCTTTGAGGAATAAAACAGCAGTTTGACTCAAAGAACCTGCAAGTAAGTGATCAGAAACATTTTTGGCCTCCTCAAAAATCCAAGAATTGGAAAAGCCCCACAAACTGCCTAATGTGGGAAAAATAGAGGTTGCAGATCACAACGGATTAGGCACAAGTTGATCCACCCACTGAAAAGTGATACGGATATTTGGAGTGTGGCAAAAACTTTACTCAGAATAGCTTCCTCATCATTCATGTAAGGACACATACCAGAGAGAGCCCTGCCAATGCTCCCAATGTTGCAAAAGTTTTAGTATAGAAACAAATCTGGTGAGAGACAAGAGGACTCACACAGGAGAGAAACCATATGAGCGTCCTGATTGTGGGAAATGTTTCAGTCAGAATTCCTACCTGGTACTCATATGGGAGAGAAACCATATGAGTGCCAAGATTGTGGGAAAGGTTTCAGTTGCAATTCCTCCTTGGTGGAACATGAGAGAACTCAGATTGGAGAAAAAACGTATCAGTGTCGGGATTGTGGGGAAAGTTTCAGTCAGAATTCCAATCTGGTGAAACACCAGACGGCACATATGGCAGAGAAACCGTATGAGTGTTCAGATTGTGGGAAAGGTTTTAGTTGCGAATCTGAACTGGCGAAGCACCAGAGGACTCACACAGGAGAAAAAATGTATGAGTGTCCGGATTGTGGGAAAAGTTTCCCTCGGAATTCCAAGCTGGTGAGACACCAGAGGACTCACACAGGAGAGAAACCATTCGAGTGTCTGCATTGTGGGAAAAGTTTCAATCAGAATTCCAACCTGGTGATACATGAGAGAACTCACACAGGGGAAAAACCATTCAAGTGTCTGGATTGTGGGAAAAGTTTCAGTCAGAATTCCTACCTGGTGAGACACCAGAGGATACACACAGGAGAAAACCCATATGAATGTCCTGATTGTGGGAAAAGTTTCATTCGAAAATCCAACCTGGTTAAACATCAGAGGACTCACACAGGAGAGAAACCATATAAGTGTCCAGATTGTGAGAAAAGTTTCCGTCAGAGTTACTACCTGGTGATACACCAGAGGACTCACACAGGAGAGAAACCATATGAGTGCCCAGAGTGTGGAAAAGGTTTCACTTGCTATTCCTATCTGGTGGAACATCAGAGGACTCACACGGGAGAGAAACCATATGAGTGCCCAGATTGTGGGAAAGGTTTCTATCGAAAATGTCACCTAGTGAAACATCAGTCAACTCACATAGAAGAGAAACCATATAAATGTCATGATTGTGGGGAAAGTTTCAGTCAGAATTCCTACCTGGTGATTCACCAGAGGATTCACATGGAAGAGAAACCATATAAGTGTGTAGATTGTGGGGAAAATTTTAGATGGAATTCTGACCTGGTGACACACCAGAGGATTCACACAGATGAGAAAACATATAAGTGTGTAGATTGTGGGAAAAATTTCAGATGGAATTCTCAGCTGGTGATACACCAGAGGACTCACACAGGAGAGAAGCCGTATGAGTGTCCGGATTGTGGGAAAGATTTCAGTAGTAGGTCCAGCCTTATAAATCATGTAAGGTTACACACAGGAGAGAAACCATTCAAATGCCCAGATTGTGGAAAATGTTTCACATATTATTCTGCCTGTTTCACACACAAGAAATTACACAGGCAAAATTTGATGTGTGTAGAGGAATGTTGAATTTCATTTCTCTTCTCTAATTGGAAGCCCAGCTGAGAAACTGACCAATTAATTTCTTGCCATATTCTTTTTAGTCAAATGTGTTGTAGTATCAAACATGAGGGAGAAGATCTGAGCTTCCTTTCTCTGGCCCAGTGTGGTCCTTCCCTTCCACAGAGTCAAGGGGAACTGCTGTGCTGGGACAGTGAAAGCGAGCTTGCATCTGTATCAAGTGTGTTTGCCGCCTTGATCTATTTCTACAAATAAATATATTATTGGTTAAGAAAATGTATATGCCAACCCAACTCAGGGTGAGTGGTGGCTTGCAGTAATAAAACCTTAATACAGAAACTGATAAATCGCATATGTTGCAAAATGGCAACATTCAAAGTCTCCACCTTTGCCCTCAAATACAGGGCATCTCTAGCAAGGTTGATGGCATTTGGATGGTCATGGAATCCCAAAATGGTGATTCTTGCTTTTGATCAAATTAGAAATTAACCAGGCCACTTGGCCCTATTATGGCCCTCCTTGTGCCATTCTTCAAAGGTCGTCATCTTTCTCCTTGCAAAGAGCTAAATTGGAGAAATTAACCACAGGATTAGATCTTCCTTGCTTTACCGAAGATAATGGCCTGCCATACTTCAGGGGAAAGAGTGTCTCATAGGGCAGGATCTGCAGCGGAAAAGACTCACTTCCTAGCTCCTGTCAAGATGGCAATAGTTAAGGGAAGGGGCTAGGTGCATGCCCACCCTATCTGACCTGGTAGAACAGATAGATGCAGAAATAATAAAAGTGGAACATTAATGACAGGTGCCCTGTTGGCCCGTGGTCAGAATGCAGTATTGCTGGCTGACTCTGCCCACAACCTGGAATTCGATCCTGAGGGGGCTCGAAGTTAACTCAGCCCTCCATCCTTCTGAGATTGGTAAAATGAGAAGCCAGATTGTTGGGGAGAATATGCTAACACTGTAAGCCTAGAGTGCTATAAAGCACAGTGGGGTGGTGTATTAATTCCAAGTGCAATTGCTACAATAATGTGATGAGCAGCATCTTCCATTGCACCTGTAAAGAAACAAAGCCTGCGGCAGCTCACACCACAAAGATGTGATATGGGCAACCCAGAGGCCCTCATTACTTTGTGTGTTGGGGCATTCTGAACCAGTTAGAGGTTTCCGGGTGGTCCATGGCAATGATCCAAACTGGAGGTGACCAAGGCATGATTGAGCTCTGTGCAAGGCCTCCCTGGTGTAGGAAAAGCCACGGTTGGCGCACCAGATAAATCTCTGCAAACCCCCTCCCCCACCTATGATCTTCTCAAGCAGGAGCCATGAGTCCAGGAGGATCTCCAAGGAGGTCACATGACCCCAGGACACTGAAACTCACAAATCTGAGTCAATTGCCAAGCGTCATAATTTGGTCACGTGACAAGAGGGATGCTGCAATGGTTGTGTGAAAAATGGCCATATGACACTCTTTTAGCACTGTTGTAACTTCAAATGGTCACTATATGTAATGTTATAAGTCCAGGGCTACCTGTACATAATGGGGTATCACAGGATGGATGGCCTTCCTTAGTGGTTTCATGTAGATGTTAGAAAGCAGCAGTGTAAGGTTTTTGTCCTGGGGCCTCCCAAATTGCGAGAGGCCTGACTCCACACCGAGTGGAACCAGTGTGGGAAAAAGAGCTTGTTGTTTTCACAGAACTATGAGAAGACATGCTAGTCTGTGAAGCAAATAAATTGTCTATATTTTAATCTCATAAGCCTAGCCTGAAGTTTGAGAATTGTATCTAGAAAGGTCTCTGCTACGCTGAAAACCGGTCCTAACCAGAATTTACTGATATGATAGCAACTTTAGAGAAAACCCCTAGGAACTAACTGCCATAAAAGGTAATTCGTAAATAAGGGCCAGGGGCCATAGAATTAGGGGAATGGGAGAAGTAATTGGGGGTGGAGATAATATATTCACTTTAGAAGCTTTGGATAGGTTGTGACAGCATTATTACTACACCAATAAAGAGGTGGGAGGTAAATTTGTAGTGGCAATGGGGAATATAAAGAACAAATATTGCAGATTTGGGGTGTCTCCACTGTGTGCTTGCATGCACAAGGAGCAGCCCCCTTACAAAGGAGTACAAATAAATTACCATTGTTTTCTCTTGGAACTTTTGGCTTCTGACTGTTTTATTATAACTAGATAACGGATCCTACACCAGCTATGGAGATGGAAGTCCCCAAAGTCTGCTCAGAAGGATATTGTAAGGTTCTCCTCTTAACCTCACATACTTGTCTGGGCTAGTCAGGAATTTTAAAAAGCAAAAGAAACTCCTGAGCCGATGTTTCAGCAAGAAAACAAATTTTATTTTGATCAAAACAGAGTCGGGTGTCCCCCTCCCTCTTCGTGGCGGCTTAGACTACCTTTCAGAACAAAGAGACCCAAGTCCCTGTACCAGGACTAAGGAAGCACAGAAAAACAAATTCCAAGGTCATGACTCGTACACATCAATGCAGGCTAACTCACCTTCCCTCCTTATTTCCCAGACCACTGAATTTCACATTGGTCCTTTCATGTAAGCAATCTCCTCTTATTTAGCACGAAACATTTGCTTTTATGTAAATAATTTCCCAATATAAGGCTCCTACAGAGCTGCTTGCACATGAACAAAATTACATATAAAATGATTACAAAATACCACTACTAGTATCAATATAAAATGGTTACAAAATAACACTACTACTATCAATCTTAAACACAGTAAAATCCCTTCAATTATTATGGTCGATGATACAGTACTGAAACCTGATGAGAGGTCTAGGAGGGACATAATGGTTGTACCCCGTCTATCCCGAGGCCTCCAAAAGTCCATGAGAGTTGCAACCAATGCCGGTTTGATGATGTGTCCCGGCCTGAACCCAGACTGAGAAGGGCCCAGGTGTCTTTCTCCTGCACAGCCCTTTCTGCGGGTGGCAAAGTCAGAGCTGCAAGCAGAGGGCGAGTTGAAGTTCCAGGCTGCCAGGTTTTCATTCCCCTCTTCAGCTCCACTGAGAAAAGATTTTAATCTGCAGCAATGCCTTGAACTCCTCTGCCAGGAAAACCTGTCATGGTTTTATTATGCACAGCAAACTGCTGTTGAAGGTATGAAGCTGGCCAGGATGCCAACTGTGCAGAAGGGGGGAAATGACTCTTCCAGCCCTCTCCTGAGCTTGGAAAAGAAATATAGGTAGTTCTCAGGTTGTGACAGCAATTCGAGCCCAAATTTCCATTGCTTAGCAGGGATGGGGCACCAGTAGGAAATATGCTGCTTGTTAGCTAAACATGGAAGTAAAAGAAAATAAAATCACAGAGGAGACAAGGGGTCAAGCTTCAATTTTACAGCTTCGCTAAGTTGCAGAGGTAGATTTCGAGGAGTTATCCTGCACCCCCAACCCCCAAGATGAAAAACTGGCTGGAAGAATCTTCACCAGCCCTCAAAGAAGGTGCACTTTCTCCTTGACTGTTCTACATAATTTCCCCTCCCAGGACACTTTCCTTTGATTTAGTTGCAGGAAGAGGGACGAAGACTGCCCTCTTGGGAGACCTGAAAGAAAAGGTTTAGGGTAGATTGTCCTGGACAAAGGCTATCGATGTGCTCGGTGGGAGTCGAACACGACTTGATGGCCCCTAAAGAACCAGGGAATCCATGAAAACGCCTTGCAAACGCTTTAGGGAAGAGATAGGACGAGCGTGATTTTCAACCTTACGTCGCTAGATGGCGCTCTACAGAGAAGCAACTCTCGTACCTAGAAAGCAGAGAATACAGTTCTGTACACAGCAGCCGCATCGCTGGTGCCAACGTCATACGGGAGGGAGAGAGGCGGAGCTGAAACAAATTGAAATGATAGAGGATTGGATTGCTAGAGAGGACTTTGGGGAAAGGGCAGAGGAACTTCCTTTTCCGGCTCACTTATGGGAGGAGAATGGCGTCACTGGTGCCTCTTGTGCAGATTCGAGGGTCGAAGCGACTCCTGGGAGGTGAGTGGAGGGCAGGTCGGAGGAGAAGCCGGGAGCAAGTCGGGCTGTTTCTTTTCCTCCGCGGTGTGGAAGCAGCGAAGGGACGAGGCTGAAATATGTCGGCTGCTGCTGCTGCTGCATATTCTTTCTCTCCCCAAATGTTCTTATCCTTACGCTGCGTGATTTAAAACTGCTGCCTGTGATTTTCTGCTGGGAGATGGAAAAATTGGGACATTTAAGAAATCTTTATTGCATATTTTTTAACAGCCTGCCTCTCTCGGTCTTCATTCCTTGTGATATTATTGACATGTTTTCCTGGCAAGTGAGGACTTTCAGGGGTAAAACGGGTGCTTTAAATCTCGCATAGGCTTTTTCATCTGTTAGTGTCCCCAGTTTTCTAAAATTAGATCAAACAAATTGAGTGAATCCACTTCTGAAACGTTTTGATGGTCCGAAATACACATAGATTTTTCACATATATAAATTTATAGGTGTGTGTTTATGTGTGCATATACATGTATCTGTATAGACCTCAGTATTTTCAGCTATTTTTTGTAACAACTATTTACAATGATAATAATTTGTGATTTACAATTATCATAATTTACCCAAGCCAAGAAGAGAATTCCATGATTTGAAATATGAGTAGATACTTGAAGTTTGATTTTGCTAGTCTCCTCTGTGCCTGATGAATCATAATGAATCTTAGAGGTTAAATTAGCATTTTGATATTTTTGCTTTTTCATAGTAATATATGGATGGTGGGTTTTTTTGCTGTTTTCACAGGTTCAGCAGCCATTTTTTAAACACTAATGAAACTAATCCATTAATATGAATCTTATAGACAGAGAGGATGCCAAGAAGAGCAATCCGGACAACAAAGAATGAGAAGCTGCGTTAAAATGCAAAACAAACCATAAATCAAAATCTTTTCTATTTCCTCCAGAAAGTGTTAAAACTCTCCTCTTTCCTTAACAGATGGAGGGAGACAAAGGAGAGAATAACAGGAACAGAGTTTTCAGATAGAAAAAATAGATTATGTGGAACTCAAGAAAATATTGCATGAAAAAGTACAAAGGCATTAATGAAAGCATTTGAGGAAGGAAAGCGTCTTGGATCAAAGCACCACTAGACAAGGGATCAGAAATATTTTTGGCCTCCTCATGAATCCAAGAATATCAGTGTTGGAAAAATTCCACCGACTGCCTATTTTGGGAAAAACACGGATTGCAGATTACATCTGATTTTTGCATGAGTCCATCCACCCCTTGAAAACCCATGCAAATGTTTGGACAGTGGCAAAAGCTTTACTCAGAACAGCACTCCAATTATTCATGGAAGGACCGACGCAAAAGGAACAGCTCTACCAGTGCTCCCAGGATGGGAAAAGATTTAGCATGCACACCAATCTGGTGAGACACAAGAGGACTCACACTGGGGAGAAACTCTTTGAGTGTCTGGATTGTGGGAAAAGTTTCAGTCAGAATTCCAGCCTGGTAAAGCACCAGAGGACTCACACAGGAGAGAAACCATATGAATGTCTGTATTGTGGGAAAAGTTTCAGTCATAATTGCAAGCTGGTGAGTCACCAGAGGACTCACACGGGAGAGAAACCGTATGAGTGTCTGTATTGTGGGAAAAGTTTCAGTCATACTTCCAACCTGGTGATACACCAGAGGAGTCACACGGGAGAGAAACCGTATGAGTGTTTGTATTGTGGGAAAAGTTTCAGGCTTAATTCCAAGCTGATGATACACCAGAGAACTCACACAGGAGAGAAACCGTATGAGTGTCTGCATTGTGGAAAAAGATTCAGTCAGAATTCCAACCTGGTGATACACGAGAGAACTCACACAGGAGAAAAACCTTTCAAGTGTCTGGATTGTGGGAAAAGTTTCAGTCACAATTCCAACCTAGTTAAACATCAGAGGACTCACACAGGAGAGAAACCATATAAGTGTCCAGATTGTGGGAAAAGTTTCATTCGGATTTCCAACCTGGTTAGACATCAGAGGACTCATACAGGAGAGAAACCATATAAGTGTCCAGATTGTGGAAAAAGTTTCCGTGAGAGTTACTACCTGGTGAAACACCAGAGGATTCACACAGGAGAGAAACCGTATGAGTGCCCAGAGTGTGGAAAAGGTTTCACTTGTTATTCCTACCTGTTTAGTCATCAGAGGACTCACACAGGAGAGAAACCATATGAGTGCCCAGATTGTGGAAAGGATTTCTCTTGGAAACGTGACATGGTGAAACATCAGTCTACTCACATAGAAGAGAAATCATATAAATGTCCTGATTGTGGGAAATGTTTCAGTCAGAATTCCTACCTGATGAAACACCAGAGGATTCACACAGAAGAGAAAAGATATAAGTGTGTAGATTGTGGGAAAAATTTCAGATGGAATTCTCAGCTGGTGATACACCAGAGGACTCACACAGGAGAGAAGCCGTATGAGTGTCCGGATTGTGGGAAAGATCTCAGTAGTAGGTCCAGCCTTATAAATCATGTAAGGTTACACACAGGAGAGAAACCATTCAAATGCCCAGATTGTGGAAAATGTTTCACATATTATACTACCTTTTTCAGACACAAGAAATTACACAGGCAAAATTTGATGTGTGTAGAGGAATGTTGAATTTCATTTCTCTTCTCTAATTGGAAGCCCAGCTGAGAAACTAAACTTTTAATTTGTTGCCATATTCTTTTTAGTCAAATTTGTTTTAGTATCAAACATGAGGGAGAAGATCTGAGCTTCCTTTCTCTGGCCCAGTGTGGTCCTTCCCTTCCACAGAGTCAAGGGGAACTGCTGTGCTGGGACAGTGAAAGCGAGCTTGCATCTGTATTAAGTGTGTTTGCCACCTTGAGCTATTTCTACACATAAATATATTATTTGTTAAGGAAATGTATATGCCAACCCAACTCGTGGTGAGTGGGCAGCTTGCAGTAATAAAACCTTAATACAGATAATGGCCTGCCATACTTCAGGGGGAAGAGTGTCTGATAGGGCAGGGTCTGCAGCGGAAAAGGCTCACTTCCTAGCTCCTATCAGATGGCAATAGTTAAGGGAAGGGGCTAGGTGCATGCCCACCCTATCTGACCTGGTAGAACAGATAGATGCAGAAATAATAAAGTGGAACATTACTGACAGGTGCCCTGTTGGCTCAGTGGTCAGAATGCAGTATTGCTGGGTGACTCTGCCCACAGCCTGGAATTCGATCTTTAGGGAGCTCCAAGTTAACTCAGCCCTCCATCCTTCTGAGATCGGTAAAATGAGAACTCAGATTGTTGGGGAGAATATTCTGACACTAAGCCGAGAGTGCTATAAAGCACAGTGCGGTGGTGTATTAATGCCAAGAGCAATTGCTACAATAAAGAAATCGCTTTAAATGTGATGACCAGCATCTTCCATTTCACCTGTAAAGAAACAAAGCCTGCGGCAGCTCACAACACAAAGATGTGATATGGGCAACCTAGAGGCCCTCATTACTTTGTGCATTTGGGCTTTCTGAACCAGTTAGAATTTCCGGGGGGTCCAGGGCAGTGATCCACACTGGAGGTGACCAAGGCATGATTGAGCTCTGTGCAAGGCCTCCCTGGTCCAGGAAAGGACACAGTTGGTGCACCAGTTAAATCTCTGCAAAGCCCCTCCCCCACCTATGATCTTCTCAAGCAGGAGCCATGAGTCCAGGAGGATCTCCAAGGAGATCACATGACCCCAGGACACTGACACAAATATGAGTCAATTGCCAAGCGTCATAATTTTGATCACGTGACAAGGGGTATGGCGCAATGGTTGTAAGTGTGAAAAATGGTCATGTCACTTTTTTATAGCACTGTTGTAACTTCAAATGGTCGCTAAATGAAATGTTCTAGGTCCAGGGCTACCTGTACATAATGGGGTATCATAGGATGGATGGCCTCCCCTACTGGTTTCATGTAGATCAGTGGTGGCGAACCTATGGCACGGGTGCCAGAGGCGGCACTCAGAGCCCTCTCTGTGGGCACGTGTGTCGTCGCCCCAGTCCTAGGCCTTCAGCTGGGTTTTATAAAACCCTTTTCGCTTTAGGCCTCTGCTGCCATGTGGGAAAAAAAAGGTTCAATAAATCAATCAATTTCAACTTCTCGCGGGGAAAAAAAGATCTTGCAAAGTTGGAATTGATTGATTGAACTTTTTATCCCACCCAGTCTGCCGTTACCACCGCAGCCACGTCCACCCAATTGGGCATGCCCACCCAATGGGCCACACCCAGCCAATGGGCCACACCCACCCGGCACTCGACAATGCATAAGTAGGTTTTGGGTTGCAGTTTGGGCACTCAGTCTCTAAAAGGTTCGCCATCAATGATGTAGATGTTAGAAAGCAGCAGTGTAAAGTTTTTGTCCTGGGGCCTCCCAGATTGCCAGAGGCTCAACTTTAGAGAAACCCCCTAGGAAGTAACAGCCATAAAAGGTAATTCTTAGTTAATGGCCCTGGCCATAGAATAAGGGGAATGGGAGAAGTGATTTGGGGAGCTGGGGGCAGGGCGGAGGTAATATATTCATTTTAGAAGCTCTGGATAGGTTGTGATGACATGATTACAGCATGATTAATAAGCCAATGAAGAACAGGCAGGAGGTAAATTTGTAATGGCAATGAGGAATATAAAGAACAAATATTGCAGATTTGGGGTGTGTCCACTCTGTGCTTGCATGCACAAGCAGCACCCCCCCCCCCTTATAAAGGAGTACAAATAAATTACCATTGTTTTCCTTTGGAAATTTTGGCTTGTGACTGTTTATTTCAACTAGACAACAAATCCTACACCAGCTATGGAGACAGAGACACATTTAGCACGAAACATTTGCTTTTATGCAAATAATTTCCCAATATAGGGCACCTACAAAGCTGCTTGCACATGAACAAAATTATATATAAAATGGTTACAAAATATCACTACTAGTATCAATATAAAATGTTTGCAAAATAACACTACTACTATCAATCTTAAGCATAATAAAATCATAAGCACAATAAAATCAATTGGTGATTTTCAGGAGATCTGAAAGAAAAGGCTTAGGGTAGATTGTCCTGGACAAAAGCTATCGATGTGCTCGGTGGGAGTCGAACACGACTTGATGGCCCCTAAAGAACCAGGGAATCCATGAAAACGCCTTGCAAACGCTTTAGGGAAGAGATAGGACGAGCGTGATTTTCAACCTTGTGTCGCTAGATGGCGCTCTACAGAGAAGCAACACTCGTACCTAGAAAGCAGAGAATACAGTTCTGTACACAGCAGCCGCATCGCTAGTGCCGACGTCATACGGGAGGGAGAGAGGCGGAGCTGGAACAAATTGAAACGATAGAGGATTAGATTGCTAGAGAGGATTTTGGGGAAAGGGTAGAGGAACTTCCTCTTCCGGCTCACTTATGGGAGGAGAATGGCGTCGGTGGATGCTCTTCCGCTGTCTCGAGGGTGGAAGCGGCTCCTGGGAGGTGAGTGGAGGGCAGGTCGGAGGAGAAGCCGGGAGCAAGTCGGGCTGTTTCTTTTCCTCCGCGGTGTGGAAGCAGCGAAGGGACGAGGCTGACACGTGTCGGCTGCTGCTGCATATTCTTTCTCTCCCCAAATGTTGTTATCCTTACGCTGCATTATTGGGGGGGGGGGCATTGATAGTGACAACTAACCACCAGGTTAGGGCGTTACTATCAAGCAGAGCTTCAAAATGGATGACAGACTCAAGGTTGTTGAAATTTGAGACAATTCTTACGGATCAACCTGATCTAATATTAATTGCTGGGGGAAGACATCAACCCATCTGATTTTTTTATAGGAGCAAAATGGGCTAAGCAAGAAGTAGAACATGACTGTGCATCAATAGTGGACCTGCGGACTAAAGCTAGGGAAGATGTAGAGGAGGAACCCATAAAAGAAGGAAAAGAGATAGATAGAAAGATAGATAGATAGATAGATAGATAGATAGATAGATAGATAGATAGATAGATAGATAGATAGATAGATAGATAGATAGATAGATAGATAGATAGATCATCAAGGGATCCTTTTCTACCAATTGGGCTTTATTTCTAGACACTCTCAAACCTTTTTCTGCCAAAACGTTTAGTAACTCTACTGTAGCTTCCTCTACTTTATTCCTCTTTTCTCCTGTCAATAGCAAATCATCGACATATTGAATAAGTGTCACTTGTGGAGGTTTCTGATATTCCTCCAGAATTTGTTCCAGAACTTGTCCAAATAAATTGGGTGATTCAGGATACCCCTGGGGTAACGCTGTCCACCTCAATTGTTGTTTTCTCCCTGTGTCTGGATCTTCCCATTCAAAGGCAAAGATGTCTTGGCTTCCTGGGTCCAAAGGACAAGACCAGAAGGCATCCTTCAAATCCAATACACTATACCATTTATCCTGGGAAGGTATTCTACCCAGGATGGTATAAGGATTGGGAGCCACAGGAAATCTAGGCACCACTATATTATTGACTTTTCTTAAATCCTGCACCAGCCAAAAATTTCCATCAGGTTTCTTTACTGGCAGGATAGAGGTGTTATAAGGAGACATGCAGGATTCTAATAACCATCCTTTAATAGTTCTTCCACCACTGGTTTCAACCCCTTTCTTCCCTCCATAGTTATGTTATATTGTTTCTGATGTACAGCTTCTCCTGGTTGTTTAAGAGTTACTTTTAAGGGTTTAATTTGAACCCTTTCCCTATTCTCCTCCTTTGCCTAAACTGAGGGGTTCACTTTGAGCTTCCTCACTTAAGGCCATAATGTTTACCATTATTTCCCTTTCATTTCCCATAATAACAATCCCCAATTTACCAATTAAATCCCTTAAATTGCAGCTCCCTTCAACCCATACAAAATCACACCATACCCCAGGCTCTTTTTCTTGGGACTTAACTATAGTGGGGTCAAAAATTCTAGCTTCCACTATATGCCCACCTATGCCTTGTGCCCTAATTTTTCCTTGTCCAATTTTCAACCCTTTTGGTATGAAGTTCAACGTGGATCTGGTGGCTCCAGAATCAACCAAAAACATGATGTCTTCATTCTCTGGTTGAACTTTCAAAGTTATCAGGGGTTCCTGGAAAGCTGGACCCAAAAACAGATTTGTTCCCTGACTCTCCTAATCTTCAAAGTTCATCAATTGAGTTAACTCCTGTTCCTTTCGTTTAGGACACTCATTTTTCCAGTGCCCTTCCTCCTTACAGAAGGCACATTGATTTTTCCCTAATCTGGGTCCAGAGGAATTTTCTCTCAGGGGTTTGTATCCCCTGGTGACAAATGGCTGTCCTCGCCCTCGGCCTAGACCTCTCCCAAGACCCCTTATTGGTTTCCTGTTTAGTCCCCCCCGTCCTCTTTGCTGGCCTGCTTGCACCAATTGAGCCATCATTTTTATCTTACGTTTATCTCTCTCCTCTCTTTGCATAAACTTTCTGAGCCTCTTTTAATAAATCTTCTATTGTTTTAGTTTCCCATGTGTGTAATTTGTGCAATTTTACCCTAATATCTTCCCATATTTTCCCTACAAATTGATATTTCAAAATCATTTGATGTCCTGGATTACCAGGATGCAAATGTCCATACTTTTGAAGTTGGCTTTTTAATCTTTCTAACCATTCAGTTGGTGTTTCCTCCTTTCCTTGTTCTAATGACAGTGCCTTCTGAATGTTATGACTCTGCGGCGCTGCATTTTTAATACTTTCTATTAAATATCCCCTATAATCAGCCATAGCTTTCCTCTCTGCACTCATGTTACCTTCCCACTTTGGATCTGCATCAGGGATTTCATTCTGTTCATTCTTTTGTGGAAACCTTTTCTTACATTGTTCCTTAGCTGCTCTCCTAATCACCCCATTCTCTTCTGGTGTAAATAACATCTTATCCTGGAGGGGGGCGCGGACCTGGCAGGTATTACTGAGACCTGGCTGGGCGTAGAAGGTGGGGTTCCACTAGTAGACATCTGCCCGCCGGGTTTTCAGGCATTTCATCAGCCAAGGACCCGGGGTAGGGGCGGGGGGGTAGCGGCCATTATAAGGGAGAGCCTTTGTCCAAGGGAGACCACTGTGCCTCAGATNGGCCATAATGTTTACCATTATTTCCCTTTCATTTCCCATATTAACAATCCCCAATTTACCAATTAAATCCCTTAAATTGCAGCTCCCTTCAACCCATACAAAATCACACCATACCCCAGGCTCTTTTTCTTGGGACTTAACTATAGTGGGGTCAAAAATTCTAGCTTCCACTATATGCCCACCTATGCCTTGTGCCCTAATTTTTCCTTGTCCAATTTTCAACCCTTTTGGTATGAAGTTCAACGTGGATCTGGTGGCTCTAGAATCAACCAAAAACACAATGTCTTCATTCTCTGGTCCAACTTTCAAAGTTATCAGGGGTTCCTGGAAAGCTGGACCCAAAAACAGATTTGTCCCTGACTCCCCTAATCTTCAAAGTTCATCAATTGACTTAACTCCTCCTGTTCCTTTCGTTTAGGACACTCATTTTTCCAGTGCCCTTCCTCCTTACAGAAGGCACATTGATTTTTCCCTAATCTGGGTCCAGAGGAATTTTCTCTCAGGGGTTTGTATCCCCTGGTGCCAAATGGCTGTCCTCGCCATCGGCCTAGACCTCTCCCAAGACCCCTTATTGGTTTCCTGTTTAGTCCCCCCCCCCTTCCTCTTTGCTGGCCTGCTTGCACCAACTGAGCCATCATTTTTATCTTACGTTTATCTCTCTCTTCTCTTTGCATAATCTTTCTGAGCCTCTTTTAATAAATCTTCTATTGTTTTAGTTTCCCATGTGTGTAATTTGTGCAATTTTACCCTAATATCTTCCCATGCTTTCCCTACAAATTGATATTTCAAAATCATTTGATGTCCTGGATTACCAGGATGCAAATGTCCATACTTCTGAAGTTGGCTTTTTAATCTTTCTAACCATTCAGTTGGTGTTTCCTAGTTTCCTTGTTCTAATGACAGTGCCTTCTGAATGTTATGACTCTGCGGCACTGCATTTTTAATACTTTCTATTAAATATCCCCTATAATCAGCCATAGCTTTCCTCTCTGCACTCATGTTACCTTCCCACTTTGGATCTGCATCAAGGATTTCATTCTGTTCATTCTTTTGTGGAAACTTTTTCTTACATTGTTCCTTAGCTGCTCTCCTAATCACCCCATTCTCTTCTGGTGTAAATAACATATTAAATATAGATTGCATTTCTCTCCATGAATATTCCATAGGTCCTAAAAACATTTCAATCTGTTTTCCTACTTCTATTGGGTTTTCTACTAATTTAGGCAGTTCCTTCTTGAACTGTCTGATTTCAAAGGCCGTTAGAGGGGCCTCCACATAACCCAGATTGCCTTCTCCTATAGGCACCTGTCAAAAAGGTGCTATAAAGACTTGTCCCATTTTCTACTGTCTTGTGACCATAGGGAAAAAGCCTTCTGCCATGCTCTTTTTCATCTCTTCCTCTAATTCCTGGTTATTTTTGACTAATTCCTTGGTTTCCTTTGACAGGTCCTCTGGTGCAGATGGCCTAACTTTGGACCCTAAAGGTACAATGTCATCTTCCTCCTTTTCTGAGCCAGGATATGGAGGAAGATTATCCAGTTCTTCAACATTCTCCCTAAAGGGGTCCATTCCATTCTGGAATGTGGATATTTTTCTCTGTTTCCTTATTGGACGGCACACGGGGCCGGGCAGGCGTCCCTCTTTTTTGCACTCTTATTGCCCATTAATACCCCTCTGATATATAGATACCCCTCTGGTATCTTACCTGTCAGGCAGAGTTGCAGTCCTTCCCTGAGTCAGCCGGCCTTTCCCTTAGGTTGTCACTGTGTCCTGGCTTTCCATCTTGGGATCCCCAATTCGTCTTTGTTCCAGCAGGGGTGATCCAACCTTTTAGGGCTGGGAAAAAAAACTTACCCAGGTGCGCACTCCCCACTTCAGATATCCCCGGCTGCCAATGATGGAATGGATGCAAATCCCGGACGAGCCCCCAAGGCTGTTATGTGTTCCTGGCTACTTTCCTTCATGACCAGAGGCAAGTTCGCCTGACCAATAACCAGCCAAGACACAGTGAAGGCCTTTTGTTTTGTTTATTGCAATAAGCGGAAGAGAGGCTTTCAAAGCTTGGTTCTCTTCAAAGTTTTAACCCAAAATATTCCCTTCTTTTATGCAGTCCTGTCCTGGCAGCTACATCCCTCCTCTTTCCTAATTGGCTGAGGTATTATGAGGTTACACTCTTTCCGTCTGCTTATACACATTTCCTGATAACATGTTAAATCATATTCACATATACAATAATAATAAGAAAAATTAGCCATTTAAATGGTTATTTTAAACTCTGTGGATATCTATGTCCCCCTTTTAGAACAATAGGTTCTTTCCTGTTTTTCAATTCAGTGTGCCTTTCCTCTTATCTTATTCAGCTTATTTTCCTGTTTTCCAATTTAACATGTCTTTGCTGGCTAGCCATTTCCTCTTACAGCTATTTTTTATAGTTCGTCTTCTTCCTTTTCCCACTCTTAAGACCCAGCTATTTTTGCCTATGTGTTTATCTTACTTCCTTTATGTTATCTTTTCCTGATTCCCACCAATTGTACTTATTTTTCTATTCAATTAGATTCCATTGTATTCTAGGTTTAAGTGACTCTGAAGATTCATCATATTGATACATATTTATCAATTTAAAACTGCTGCCTGTGATTTTCTGCTGGGACATAGAAAAGTTGTGACATTTAAAAAATCTGTATTTCATATTTTTTAACAGCCTGCCTCTCTCGGTCTTCATTCCTTGTGATATTATTGACATGTTTTCCTGGCAAGTGAGGACTTTTGGGGGTAAAACAGGTGCTTTAAATCTCACATAGGCTTTGGGCACCGTTTCATCTGTTAGTGTCCCAGCTTTCTAAAATTAGATCAAACAAATTAAGTGAATCCACTTCTGAATCATTTTAAAGACTGAAATACACATAGGTTTTCTACATATATAAATTTATAGATGTGTATTTATGTGTGCATATTCATGTATCTGTATAGACTTCAGTATTTTCAGGTATTTTTTGTAACAACTATTTGCAATGATAATAATTCGTGATTTACCCAAGCCAAGAAGAGAATTCCATGATTTGAAATATGAGTGGATACTTGAAGTTTGATTTTGCTAGTCTCCTCTGTGCCTGATGAATCATAATGAATCTTAGTGGTTAAATTAGCATTTTGATATGTTTGCTTTTTCATAGTAATATATGGATTTTTTGCTGTTTTCACAGGTTCAGCAGCCATTTATTAAACACTAATNCATATGAGTGTCCAGATTGTGGGAAAAGTTACAGTCAGAATTGCAAGTTGGTGATTCACCAGAGGACTCACACGGGAGAGAAACCATATGAATGTCCTGATTGTGGAAAAGGTTTCAGTCAGAATTCCCACCTGTTGAGTCACCAGAGGACTCACACGGGAGAGAAACCATTCAAGTGTCTGGATTGTGGGAAAAGATTTAGCAAGCACACCAATCTGGTGAGACACAAGAGAACTCACACTGGGGAGAAACGCTTTGAATGTCCCGTTTGTGGGAAAAGTTTCAGTCGTAAATCCAGCCTGGTGATACACCAGAGAACTCATAGAGGAGAGAAACCATACACGTCCCTGGATTGTGGAAAAAGTTTCAGTCATACTTCCAACCTGCTGAGTCACCAGAGGACTCACACAGGAGAGAAACCATATGAATGTCCTGATTGTGGAAAAGGTTTCAGTCAGAATTCTCACCTGGTGACACACCAGAGGACTCACACAGGAGAGAAACCCTTTGAATGTCCGATCTGTGGGGAAAGTTTCAATCACAAATCCAGCCTGGTGACACACCAGAGGACTCACACAGGAGAGAAACCCTTTGAATGTCCTGATTGTGGAAAAAGTTTCAGTCATAATTCCAACCTGCTGAGTCACCAGAGGATTCACACCGGAGAGAAACCATATGAATGTCCTGATTGTGGAAAAAGTTTCAGTCATAATTCCTACCTGGTGAGTCACCAGAGGACTCACACCGGAGAGAAACCATATGAATGTCCTGATTGTGGAAGAAGTTTCAGTCAGAATTCCACCCTGGTGAGTCACCGGAGGACTCACATGAGAGAGGGACCATATGAATGTCCTGATTGTGGAAAAAGTTTCAGTCAGAATTCCACCCTGGTGAGTCACCGGAGGACTCACATGAGAGAGGGACCATATGAATGTCCTGATTGTGGGAAATGTTTCAGTCAGAATTCCAGCCTGGTAAAGCACCAGAGAACTCACACGGGAGAGAAACCATATGAATGTCTGGATTGTGGAAAATGTTTTAGTCAGAATTCCTACCTGATGAAACACCAGAGAACTCACACCGGAGAGAAACCATATGAATGTCTGGATTGTGGAAAATGTTTCAGTCAGAATTCCTACCTGATGAAACACCAGAGAACTCACACCGGAGAGAAACCATATGAATGTCCTGATTGTGGAAAAGGTTTCAGTCAGGATTCCCACCTGTTGAGTCACCAGAGGACTCACTCGGGAGAGAAACCATTCAAGTGTCTGGATTGTGGGAAAAGATTCAATCAGAATTCTAAACTGATGGTACACCAGAGAACTCACATAGGAGAGAAACCGTATGAGTGTTTGCATTGTGGAAAAAGATTCAGTGAGAATTCTAGTCTGATGTTACATGAGAGAACTCACACAGGAATAAAACCATTCAAGTGTCTGGACTGTGGGAAAAGTTTCAATTACAATTCCCACCTGGTGAGTCACCAGAGGATTCACACGGGAGAGAAACCATATGAATGTCTGGATTGTGGGAAAAGTTTCAGGCTTAATTCCAAGATGGTGATTCACCAGAGAACTCACACAGGAGAGAAACCTTATGAGTGTCTGCATTGTGGAAAAAGATTCAGTCAGGATTCCAGTCTGGTGATACATAACAGAATTCACACAGGAGAAAAACCATTCAAGTGTCTGGATTGTGGGAAACGTTTCCGTGTGAATTCCTACCTGGTGATACATCAGAGGATTCACACGGGAGAAAGACCGTATGAGTGCCCAGAGTGTGGAAAGGATTTCTGTTGGAAAAGTGACATGGTGAAACATCAGTCTACTCACATAGAAGAGAAATCATACAAATGTCCTGATTGTGGGAAATGTTTCAGTCAGAATTGCTACCTGGTGAAACACCAGAGGACTCACACAGGAGAGAAGCCGTATGAATGTCCGGATTGTGGGAAAGTTCTCAGTAGTAGGTCTAGCCTTATAAATCATGTAAGGTTACACACAGGAGAGAAACCATTCAAGTGCCCAGATTGTGGAAAATGTTTCACATATTATTCTACCCTTTTCACACACAAGAAATCACACAGGGAAAATTTGATGTGTGTAGAGGAATCTTGAATTTCATTTCTCTTCTCTAATTGGAAGCCCAGCTGAGAAACTAAACTTTTAATTTCTTGCCATATTCTTTTTAGTCAAATGTGTTTTAGTATCAAACATGAGGGAGAAGATCTGAGCTTCCTTTCTCTGGCCCAGTGTGGTCCTTCCCTTCCACAGAGTCAAGGGGAAGTGCTGTGCTGGGACAGTGAAAGCGAGCTTGCATCTGTATTAAGTGTGTTTGCCGCCTTGAGCTATTTCTACACATAAATATATTATTTGTTAAGGAAATGTATATGCCAACCCAACTCATGGTGAGTGGGCAGCTTGCAGTAATAAAACCTTAATACAGATAATGGCCTGCCATACCTCAGGGGAAAGAGTCTCATAGGGCAGGGTCTGCAGCGGAAAAGGCTCACTTCCTAGCTCCTATCAGATGGCAATATTTAAGGGAAGGGGCTAGGTGCATGCCCACCCTATCTGACCTGGTAGAACAGATAGATGCAGAAATAATAAAGTGGAACATTAATAACAGGTGTCCTGTTGGCTCAGTGGTGGGAATGCAGTATTGCTGGCTGACTCTGCCCACAGCCTGGAATTCGATCCTTAGGGAGCTCCAAGTTAACTCAGCCCTCCATCCTTCTGAGATCGGTAAAATGAGAACCCAGATTGTTGGGGAGAATATTCTGACACTAAGCCGAGAGTGCTATAAAGCACAGTGCGGTGCTGTATTAATGCCAAGAGCAATTGCTACAATAAAGAAATAGCTTTAAATGTGATGAGCAGCATCTTCAATTGCACCTGTAAACAAACAAAGCCTGCGGCAGCTCACACCACAAAGATGTGATATGGGCAACCTAGAGGCCCTCATTACTTTGTGCATTGGGGCATTCTGGACCAGTTAGAGGTTTCCGGGGGGTCCAGGGCAGTGATCCAAACTGGAGCTGACCAAGGCATGATTGAGCTCTGTGCAAGGCCTCCCTGGTCTAGGAAAGGCTACAGTTGGCGCACCAGATAAATCTCTGCAAAGCCCCCTCCCCCACCTATGATCTTCTCAAGCAGGAGCCATGATTCCAGGAGGATCCCCAAGTTGTGCACCAGCTCAGTTGACCAAGGAGATCACATGACCCCAGGACACTCAAACTCACAAATATGAGTCAATTGCCAAGCGTCGTAATTTGCATCATGTGACAAGGGGTATGGTACAATTGTAAGTGTGAAAAATGGTCATGTCACTTTTTTTAGCACTGTTGTAACTTCAAATGGTTGCTAAATGAAATGTTCTAGGTCCAGGGCTACCTGTACATAATGGGGTATCATAGGATGGATGGCCTCCCCTACTGGTTTCATGTAGATGTTAGAAAGCAGCAGTGTAAGGCTTTTCTCCAGGGGCCTCCCAGATTGCCAGAGGCCCAACTTTAGAGAAAACCCCTAGGAAGTAACAGCCATAAAAGGTAATTCGTAAATAAGGGCCGGGGCATAGAATAAGGGGAATGGGAGAAGTGATGGGGGGGGGGGAGGTAATATATTCATTTTAGAAGCTTTGGATAAGTTGTGATGACATGATTACAGCATGATTACTAAGCCAAGGAAGAAGAGGTGGGAGGTAAATTTGTAATGGCAATGGGGGAATATAAAGAACAAATATTGCAGATTTGTGGTGTGTCCACTGTATGCTTGCAGGCACAAGCAGCACCCCCCCCCCTTATAAAGGAGTTCAAATAAATTACCATTGTTTTCCGTTGGAAATTTTGGCTTGTGATTGTTTATTTCAACTATACAACAAATCCTACACCAGCTATGGAGACAGAGACATATTTAGCACGAAACATTTGCTTTTATGTAAATAATTTCCCAATATAGGGCACCTACAAAGCTGCTTGCACATGAACAAAATTATATATAAAATGATTACAAAATATCACTACTAGTATCAATATAAAATGGTTACAAAATAACACTACTACTATCAATCTTAAGCACAATAAAATCCCTTCAATGATGCAGTACTGAAACCTGATGAGAGATCTAGGAGGGACATGATGGTTGTACCCCGTCTATCCCGAGGCCTCCAAAAGTCCATGAGAGTTACAACCAATGCCCTTTTGGTGATATGTCCCAGCCTGAACCCAGACCGAGAAGGGCCCAGGTGTCTTTCTCCTGCACTGCCCTTTCTGCGGGTGGCAAAGTCAGAGCTGCAAGCAGAGGGTGAGTTGAAGTTGCAGGCTGCCAACCTCTCATTCTCCTACTTAGATGCACTGAGAAAAGGTCTTAATCTGCAGAAATGCCTTGAACTCCTCTGCCAGGAAAACCTGTCATAATTTTATTATGCACAGCAAACCGCTGTTGAAGGTATGAAGCTGGCCAGGATGCCAACTGTCCAGAAGGGGGGGGAAATGACTCTTCCAGCCCTCTCCTGAGCTTGGAAAAGAAATATAGGTAGTTCTCAGGTTGTGACAGCAATTCGAGCCCAAATTTCCATTGCTTAGCAGGGATGGAGCACCAGTAGGAAATCTGCTGCTTCTTAGCTAAAGATGGAAGTAAAGGAAAATAAAATCACAGACGAGACAAGGGGTCAAGCTTCAATTTTACAGCTTCCTAAGTTGCAGAGGCAAATTTCAGGGAGGTATCCTGCACCCCCAACCCCCAAGATGAAAAACTGCCTGGAACAATCTTCACCAGCCCTCAAGGGAGGTGCACTTTCTCCTTGGCTGTTGTACATAATTCCCCCCCCCCCAAGGACACTTTCCTTTGATTTAGTTGGAGGAAGAGGGACGATGACTGCCCTCTTGGGAGACCTGAAAGAAAAGGTTTAGGGTAGATTGTCCTGGACAAAAGCTATCGATGTGCTCGGTGGGAGTCGAACACGACTTGATGGCCCCTAAAGAACCAGGGAATCCATGAAAACGCCTTGCAAACGCTTTAGGGAAGAGATAGGACCAGCGTGCTTTTCAACCTTATGTCGCTAGATGGCGCTCTAGAGAGAAGCAACACTCGTACCTAGCAAGCAGGGAATACAGTTCTGTACACAGCAGCCGCATCGCTAGTGCCAAGGGAGGGAGGGAGGGAGGTTGAGCCAACGTCATACGGGTGCCAACGTCATACGGGAGCCAACGTCATACGGGAGCCAACGTCATACGGGAGGGAGAGAGGCGGAGCTGGAAAAAATTGAAACGATAGAGGATTGGATTGCTAGAGAGGATTTTGGGGAATGGGCAGAGGAACTTCCTTTTCCGGCTCACTTATGGGAGGAGGATGGCGTCCATGGATGCTCTTCCGCTATCTGGAGGGTCGAAGCGGCTCCTGGGAGGTGAGTGGAGGGCAGGTCGGAGGAGAAGCCGGGAGCAAGTCGGGCTGTTTCTTTTCCTCCGCGGTGTGGAAGCAGCGAAGGGACGAGGCTGAAATATGTCGGCTGCTGCTGCTGCATATTCTTTCTCTCCCCAAATGTTATTATCCTTACGCTGCGTGATTTTGTTATGTGCTCCTGGCTACTTTCCTTCGTGACCAGAGGCAAGCTCGCCTGACCCATAGCCAGCCAAGACACAGTGAAGGCCTTTTGTTTCGTTTATTGCAATATATTATTATTATTATTATTAAGCTTGGTTCTCTTCAAAGTTTTAACCCAAAATATTTCCTTCTTTTATAGCCACTGCATCCCTCCTCTTTCCCCATTGGCTGAGGTATTATGAGGTTATACTCTTTCCGTCCGCTTATACACATTTCCTGATAACATGTTAAATCATATTCACATATACAATAATAATAAGAAAAATTAGACACTTAAATGGTTATTTTAAACTCTGTGGATATCTATGTCCCCCTTTTAGAACAATAGGTTCTTTCCTGTTTTTCAATTCAGTGTGCCTTTCCTCTTATCTTATTCAGCTTATTTTCCTGTTTTCCAATTCAACATGTCTTTGCTGGCTAGCCATTTCCTCTTACAGCTGTTTTTTTATAGTTTGTCTTCTTCCTTTTCCCACTATTAAGACCCAGCTATTTTTGCCTATCTGTTTATCTTACTTCCTTTATGTTATCTTTTCCTGATTCCCACCAATTTTTCTGTTCAATTAGTTGAATTGTATTGTAGGTTTAACGGACTCTGAAGATTCATCATATTGATACATATTTATCAATTTAAAACTGCTGCCTGTGATTTTCTGCTGGGAGATGGAAAAATTGGGACATTTTAAAAATCTGTATTTCATATTTTTTAACCGCCTGCCTCTCTCAGTCTTCATTCCTTGTGATATTACTGACATGTTTTCCTGGCAAGTGAGGACTTTCGGGGGTAAAACGGGTGCTTTAAATCTCGCATAGGCTTTGGGCACCGTTTCACCTGTTAGTGTCCCAGCTTTCTAAAATTAGATCAAACAAATTAAGTGAATCCACTTCTGAAACATTTTGAAGGTCCGAAATACACATAGATTTTCCACATATATAAATTTATAGGTGTGTATTTATGTGTGCATATACATATATCTATATAGAACTCAGTATTTTCAGGTATTTTTTGTAACAACTATTCGCAATTATAATAATTCATGATTTACACAAGCCAAGAAGAGAATTCCATTGATCTGAAATATGAGTGGATACTTGAAGTTTGATTTTGCTAGTCTCCTCTGTGCCTGATGAATCATAATGAATTTTAAAGGTTAAATTAGCATTTTGATATGTTTGCTTTTTCATAGTAATATATGGATGGTGGGTTTTTTTGCTGTTTTCACAGGTTCAGCAGCCATTTTTTAAACACTAATGAAATTAATCCATTAATGTGAATCTTATAGACCAGGGGTAGGCAACCTTGTCTCTTTTATGACTCATGGACTTCAACTCCCAGAATTCCTGAGCCAGCTGTGCTGTCTCAGGAATTCTGGGGGTTGAAGTCCACGAGTCATAAAAGAGACAAGGTTGCCTACCCCTGTTATAGACAGAGAGGATGCCAAGAAGAGCACTCCGGACAACAAAGAATGAGAAGCTGCATTAAAATGCAAAACAAACCATCAATGAAAATCTTTTCTATTTCCTCCAGAAAGTGTTAAAACTCTTCTCTTTCCTTAACAGATGGAGGGAGACAAAGGAGAGAATAACAGCAACAGAGTTTTCAGGTAGAAAAAATAGAT